GAAGGGCATCTCGGCTCTTTCCACAGTTTGGCTATTGCGGACATTGCAGCTATGAACATTGGGGTGCATATGGCCCTTCTTTTCACTACATCTGTGTCTTTGGAGTAAATACCAGTAGTGCAATTGCTGGGTCATAGGGTAGCTCTATTTTTAATTTTTTGAGGAACCTCCACACTGTTTTCCAAAGTGGATGTATCAACTTGCATTCCCACCAACAGTGTAAGAGGGTTACCCTTTCTCCACAGCCTCTCCAACATTCGTCGTTTCTTGCCTTGTCAATTTTGCCGTTTTAACTGGTGTAAGGTGGTATCTCAGTGTGGTTTTAATTTGAATTTCCCTGATGGCTAGTGATGATGAACATTTCTTCATGTGTCTGTTAGCCATTTGTATGTCTTCTTTTGGGAAGTGTCTGTTCATGTCTTCTGCCCATTTTTTGACTTGATTATTTGTTTTTTGGGTATTGAGTTTGAGAAGTTCTTTATAGATCTTGGACCTCAGCCCTTTTATTGACATTTTAGTTTATTTATTTTTAGTGATCTCTATACCCAATGTGGGGCTCAAATTCATGACCCCAAGGTCAAAAGTCACATGCTATTCCAACTAAGCCAGCCAGGTGGCCCTAAATTTTGTTTATGTAATCTCTATGCCCAATGTGGGGCTTGAACTCATGACCCTGAGATTACAAGTCATATGCTCTACTGACTGAGCCAGTCAGGCGCCCCCTCTTATCGATGTTAAAAGGGTAAGTCTGGCTGCTGTCGGGAGAGTGGCTTGTGGTACATGGCGGGGGGACAGGGAAAGGAGAGTGAAGCTCCTGCTGTAGGTCAGGGGTACAGTGTTGCCAGCTAGGAGTTCGGTGGTGCCAGGGAGATGGGGAGAAGTTGTGGCTTTGAGGTCTGTTGGAGAGATGGAGCTTGCAGAGAGATTGGACCTTGAGTGTGATGAGGGGAAAAGAGGACTCGGGGATGAGGTCTTGGTTTTAGTCATGAATATCTGGGTGGCTGGCAGTGTGTCATTTTCTGAAGCAGGAACATTGAAAGAAAAGCAAGAGTTTTCTTTGGTAGCAGAGCAGGAAATCAGAAGTTCCATTTTGGACACAATAACTCTGAGATGCCCAGTAGACATCTCTGTGAAGATGTAAATAGGCAGGTAGAGAAGGGTTTCTGGAGCTCTAGAAAGAAAAGAGGCCATGTTTCAGAGACAGTGGCCTATAGATAGTGCTTAAAGTCATGGAAATACACGAGTCTGCCTAGAAAGAACCTGTATCCAGAGAACAGGACTGACAACCAATATTTAGGATATACCGACTTTGGAGAGCTAGTCAGAGAAAGAGTCAACTAAGGAAACTGAGAGAAAGCCAATGAGGCGGGAAAGAAACTAGCACATGTCATGATGAGGAAGACAAGGGAAAAAGTTCTTCAAAGGAAGAGCATGATCAACCATATGGAATAATTTAGACAGTTCGAGTAAGAAGAGGACAGAGAAGTGCCTATTAGATTTGGCAGGACAGATTACCTTGACTGGCACAGCTTCTATGGACTTGGGGGCAGAAGCAGGAGACCGTTGCTCTAGACCATTCTTTTGAGAATGGAGACAGAGGAGTAGCAGTGCAACTGGAGAGGCCTGTGGGGGTCAAGGTAGGGTTTTTTCTTAGATGGTGGAGATGGGTGTGCTGATGGAATGACCCATCAAGTAAGGTGAGAGAGCACCATGAGGAGGACCAGAGAGGAGGGGTAGGTAACTACAGGAGTTCTGTCCTTGAGAGAGAGAAGGAGGAGAGAGTCACAAGGACAGATTGACCTTGGATTGGTTACAACAGACCAACTGCCGATGCCCCTGAGAGAAGGCGGAGGGTACAGACAGGCACAGGTGGGTGAGAAGATTCAGGAGTGAAAAGATGAGATGTATGTAGTTCTCCCTGTGTTTGCATTCTCAAAGAAAACAGGAGGTGGGGGTCAAGTGCACGGAGTAGAGTAGATGGCTAGAGATTTGAAGAGAGATAGAAGAAGGGTACAACTGAGTTTTGGAGGCTGGGGAAATGCATATTGCAAAAAACGGAGAGAGAAAGGAGTGGACCCCACCCCCTTTATATAAAGCAAGAGCACACACACACACACACACACACTAAGCAGGGGGTCAGAGACTGACTTCACGGCTAACGAAGTACAGAAGGATGTGAACCGCAACGATCAGGCTAAACTTAGGCTGCTGGACAGAAGAATCTACACCTGAAAAAACTGCATTTTAAGCTGAGGAGAGGGGGACTCTGGACCAGCTAGCTCTCCTCCAGGATTAGATTCTATTTGTTGTCCAATTTCCTCCGTAGGCTGAAAACTGCTCGAATGGAATCACATTGCACTCAGTCTCTTCCCTCATTGATGTGATGTTTGGGAGTGGTGAGAGTGAAGGGCAGTATTTCTAAGACCAGCTGTCAAAAAGGAGACTGAAGTCATAGGAGAGGCCATTGGAGAAGTCCAAGCAAAAGCCAGGAGCCTGAGGTTTCATAGAGAAGAGCTAGAATTCTTCAATTTAATTGCTGTCAATCATATAAGCAACAGAGCTGTAACTACAGAGAGCTGTATGGCTTTCTTTTTTTTTTTTAATTTTATTTTATTATGTTATGTTAGTCACCATACAATACATCATTTGTTTTTGATGTAGTGATCCACGATTTGTTGGCTTTCTTAATGCTGATGTAAGAAATCACCACAAACTGACTGGTTTTAAACCACATAAGTTTATTACCCTAAAATGCTGGAGGTCGGAAGTCTAAATGAGTTGGCAGGGCTTCTGGGGGCGGGAGGGGAGAAGACAGCCCTCGCCTTTTCCAGCTTCTGCAAGCCGCCTACATTGCTTGGCTTGTGGCCCCGGCTACATCTTCAGAGTCAGCACTATAGCACCTTCAGATCTCTCTCTGAGCTGACCTCCGACTTCCCTCATCACATCTCCTTCCCTCTCTTTCTCTCATGAAAAGGCTCTTCTGCTTATGTAAGTCAGGCCCCACTCTATGAGTAATCAGTCTACCTCAGGATCCTTAACTGAATCCCCCCTGCAGGGTACCTTTGCCATATATGGTAATGTAGTCACAGGTCTGGGCATGGGGACGAGGACATGTTTGGGCAGGGAGGGAGCCCTGTCCTAGCGCCAGAAGCTTCCAGCTTTATCCACTAGTGTGATGTAGTCCTGTGCTGTAGCTTTGCATTTGCTTCACTCAGCCATCTAAAGCTTTTCTTTTTTATCCAGTGTGTAAAATAATAGGATCTAGAGCTTTTAAAAAAGATATTCATTATAGGAAACTTTCAGATCAAATGTGAAGTGAACAAGGTATGTTTTCTCTATTCCATCAATTTTTTTTTCTGTGTTTTGGGTATTTGGGACTTCGGAACTTCTGCTACAGAAAACACTGAGAGTAGACATCCCCTCCTAAAGTTCATGATGTGGTTAATTTACCAATTCGCATAACCATCAGGTATTAAATTCCCAGAAAATGTTTATGAATCTAAGATTGATGTACCATGTCATTGATGTTTACATCATTTGTCAACAAATTCTGTGTTTATGAGCAAGTGTGCATGCACATGAGGCTGAGTGTGGTATATGACTCTGCCTCAAATCCTGGTGGAGAAGGTGCTGATGTGTAACTTCAGCTTTGTGACCCTGAGGAAGTTACATCACCCTCAGAATCTCACTTGGCTTCTGTGTAAATAATGAATAAGTACACTGCTCTCCTGGGGATGGGGTATAAAATACCTGACTTTTATTCACAAAAGGCCTTATAAGTGCCAAGTATTGCCAAAAACTAAAATTTTGCCGTGTGTAATTCATCTATATCTCTATAAAATTCTGCTCTGTTTTCAATTAGATTTGATATCCTTCATTATTTCTCATTTAGAATCATGTTTGAATTTAGCTTTCAACCATTTTATATTCATTCAAATATTGGCTTCCTTTAGTTCTTTTTTTTCACTGTTATTTAAATTTTATTAATATTATTTTTTACTTATTATTTCATTTCAGCTTTTATTTAGTTCTTACACTTAGCTATATAACTAGGGGACTCTGGCAGTGGGATTCCGTTTATTCTCAGCAGTTTTCCTTTTAGTTTTTAAAGAGATTTCTGTTTGTATCCCATTATGCTTGTTTTTATTAGAGTAAAAATACTATTTAGAAATTTTAGATTGTCTTGATCTATTTTATGACGTGCATATGGAGAGATACCGCACCTGCCATTTCTTCACAATTGTACGGGTCAGGGTGCTGGCAGGAAACCAAGAACACCCTCACAGGGGATCACTGAAGAGTCACGTGGAAACAGTGAAAAGAAACCAAGAGGGAATAATAAAGCACCTAGGAGCTAGCAGCAGGGGGGCATCTTGTACCTACCTGTGCCTCAAAGAACACCAGGATGGAGGGATTGCCAAAAGCTGACAAGAGCTGTGGCTGTAGGAGAAGGTCCCAGGGGGTGAGCATACCAACTGCCAAATCTGCCCCCAGCCAGGGGAAGGGAGAAGGGAAACAAGGGAAATAAATATCTTGAATGCTGTTCCCACCATGCCAGACCCAGTGGAAGCCAATGGTCAAGGGAGCCAGTTGATGCCTCCATAGCAGTCCATTTCCCGGCACACAGCGGGGAGAGGGGGGGTGGGGCAGTGACCTGGAAGAGCAAACAGAACATGTCCCAGCACAGAGGTCTATTGGAAAAATATCCCAGATTACTTTATCATGGCCTTTGGAATTCGATTGTGCAGAAACACACATGTACCCCTATACTTAAGCCCTGACCCCTTTGGTTTCTTTCTCTCACCACTGCTATTGGTGGTTGTAAAGTTGAGCTGATCACCATGGCTAATGCCCAGATCGTCTCATTCTTCTGTGAGTATTAAGACTTGACAATACATTCGCAGTGTAGATACCCACAGTGATTGGGGGGAGGGTCCTCGCTTTCCCAGCAGGCCATCTGGGAGGCGCTGTCCTTCACTCTTCCATTCTTTCTTTTCTAGGATGGAGCTTCAGCATGGGGTCAGCTTACCAGTTTCACAGTTGGCGTGTGTTCGTGATAGTCTGCGCGCTCCCCTGTGTCTCCTCGGTGGTGGCCCTCACATTCATGCCTGAAAGCCCACGGTTCTTGCTGGAGGTAACATGTATTACTGTGAATATCTAAGGGAGCCACACACATTGGAAAAAGTTCCTTGTTAATTCTAGGAAAGTGTGTTTGCCTCGCTAGGAGGTACGCTTTCCCTTGCCTGCCATGGAACCATGGAGGGGTTGGTTTTGTGGAGACATGCTTTAAAAGACCCGTGTGTGAAAAAGCTACCTCGTGGCCTAAAAGCACTAATGTTCCTCCCCAAGCAAGTAACTTTTCACTCAGTGAAGAGACTTTGTCTTTTTTTTTTTTAAATTTTATTTATTTATTTGACAGAGAGAGACACAGAGAGAGAGGGAACACAAGCAGGGGGGGAGGGAGAGGGAGAAGCAGGCTTCCCGCAGAGCAGGGAGCCCGATGCGGGGCTCGATCCCAGGACCCTGGGATCATGATCTGAGCCGAAGGCAGACGCTTAACGACTGAGCCACCCAGGCGCCCCGAGACTTTGTCTTTTTTATACATGAACTTTTAGCAGCTAAAGATGCTATTTCTAGTTCTAGGCACATCCATTGAACTGCTCAGGTACTTAGGGATATCCAGTGGGATATCCCATTTGGCAATTACACCCAACTTGCTCTGACAACACAAGACGGTTACTGGAAAATCAGGGAGTATAAGTGTTTTACCTTTTAGCCCTTCAGTGTCTGTTTGCATTTCTTAGGTTGGAAAACATGATGAAGCGTGGATGATCCTGAAGTTAATTCATGACACAAACATGAGAGCACGGGGTCAGCCTGAGAAAGTCTTCTCGGTGAGTACCTGCTTCTCAGTGAATCTTCTATGCCAGGGGCCAGGAAACCTTTTCTGAAAAGGCCAGATTGTAAATTTTTCTCTCTACACCAGCTACACTCATCTTTTGGTTCCTCATATTCCACTTCACTTAGACATGTTGCACTCACTGGCTCTGTGTGTACCATTCACTCTGCATGGAATGTTCTTACAGCTTCTAGTTACCAAGTCTATTATCAATGGGGAAAGCCAGTCTAAATTAATGAAAATTGGATGGATGGAATTTTTTGGAAGGAACAGTGGTTTAAATCTTTTTACATAGGCAGTCATACATTTAGGCTAATAATGTTTTGTCTGAAATAGGTTTAGGCCGATATACAGTAAGACATACGGAGACATAAATAAGATCTTCAGTATCTTATAAATAATACCAACTACAGGTGTTAAAACATATGAAATAGTTCCTCATTAAACAGTCTGTTGACATCTTATTTATTTCATTTTTACTTAGGAAACAAATTTTTCATATTGTAAATATAGACTTAAGTTTGGCCTTTATCTAAATTACCACACATTCTTCATTAGCACAATTTTTTATGCAATGTCATGGAGAAACGAAAGTCAGTAATGGATGCTCTCCATTGAGGACCTGAAAGTCTTTGAATAGGCCCTTCTTTTAAGCAGATGCACAACAGAGGAAGGATTTTTTTTTAAATGAAAGGATCAGAAGGCTAGAGGAATCTTGAGGCATCATCTAGATACTCAATGTCACTTAACGCTTCTTAGCCACATGAGGGAAAAACCCTTTACCAGAGGGATCTTCTGAGAAGGAGAGTCTCTCCAGGGCATCACTGAGCTACTTACCTGCTTTTTCCTCCAGAAGGTTTGAGTTACCAAATTCACACATGGTCATCCATGTTGTTACTAGATTAGGTGAGAACAGGGGGGAATACTCCAAAAGAATGGATAAACTCAGAGTCATTTATTATGTGACTTTCAAAGTCATTACATGATTCCACCATGACAAATTTGTCTTTTCCCTTATTATGCCTACAATATAGTGAATCTGCATGCATTCCTCCAAAGCCTTCTTTTAAAGCTCTTCTTCTTTTTTTTTGTTTTTTTTTTTTAAAGATTTTTATTTATTTATTTGACAGAGATAGAGAGTACAAGTAGGCAGAGAGGCAGGCAGAGGGAGAGGGAGAAGCAGGCTCCCTACTGAACAGGGAGCCCGATGCGGGACTCGATCCCAAGCCCCGGGATCATGACCTGAGCCGAAGGCAGCCGCTTAACCGACGGAGCCACCCAGCGCCCTAAAGCTCTTCTTCTTATGCCCCTAACTTAAATATTGTTTTCCAGGACTCTATTTTTAGCTAATTTCTCTTTTAATCCTATATGCTTTCCTTAGCTGATTCTAGCTCTCTATCTCCTAATGGACAGTTCTCCTGAGCTCCAGACATACGTGTTGAAGGCCTTTATGGACATCCTTTTATGTCCTTTCCAATCTGAATTTCTGAGTCTGAACTTAGCGCCTTAAGAGTCTTCAAGCTTCTTTTTTTTACTAAATTCTACCAGAAGATACCACCAGTACCACAAACCGGAAAACTTTACAACTACCCTATTTCTTTCTTCCCTTTTATCCCCATAATATTCAAGGAATCACTCTGTCCTATTATTTCTATCCTAAATGTCACTCCTCATTGTTCCTTACCTTTGACCCTACTGCCGCTGGTTTCTTTCAGCCCTCTTTACTCACTGCCCTCTGCCCTTGGACTATTCTTCAGGAATCTAAAACTCTTTGTAGTTGGCCAATACCTTGTTTTCTCTCACAACTCAGGATGTTTGCACATGGTATCTATCTCTCACGCTTGGAATGGCCTCTAAGTGGTTTACATACATGGTAAATGACATACTTCTCCATAAGTCCCAGCTTAGATTCAGTCCATGAAGGCTTCTCTCATTCCCAAGACAACTTGAGTGTTCTATAAAATACATCTCTCCCATCCAATATAGATCTCCATTAGAGGTTTTTTTCTTTGTATGGTAATTGCTGAGAGGATGTCAGTAATGGATATTTTATGTTTGCATCTCCGTAGTCTAGTGCTGGACCTGGTACACAGTGGGTGCCCGTGAATGAATGAACAAACAAACATTGATGAGTAGAGAAGAAGAAGCCTCCCCAAAATAGTATGTTGAGTGATAAGAACACCTCTGTGGTTTAAAAAAATCTAGAGTATCACAGAATAATGCCTCCATGGGTTATTTTGAGCTGACTCTATTTGGAATCCCACATTTAACTCAGACATTATTTTCATTAAATATAGACCTCTTTGTTGACAGAGCCAGGAAGAGTCTACTGCTTACCTTGTATAATTTGGAAGATGCTGAGGGTCCCCAAATGACCACTGTCAAAAGACAGCCTGGGTACCTGGATTCTCACAAAAGAAGTGCTGCTTTGGATGTGGGCAGAATCTCCAGAAAAAAAGTGTTCAAAAGTGTTCAAAAGTGATCCCTGGCAGGGGTCACATTTGTGCAATTGCTGTGTTCTCTCTCAGAAGTTACATAAATATTGACTAACAGCGTAAGATGGGACAGGTCCACAAAAGGAACCATTCTTTTTTTTTTTTTTTCTATTTTTTCTGTTTTCAGGCTTCATTCTCTGTGTTGAAAGCATTGCCTCTCCCATGTCTAGGTTCTTTTCCTGAGCAGAAGAGGCTAACTTAAGTTCTAGATGCAGCTTTTCACAGTGGTCTCCCATCATTTATGCCCCCTCTGTCACGGAAGAATCTGTCAGAATTCTTTCTCTCGGCTCGCCTGTGGCCATTTGCTGACCAGCCGCTGTGGTGTTAGGCTACAGGAAAAGGAGAAAAGGGGCATAAAATATAAAGATAACTTTTAAGAATACAAGTTGGATGAGGAAGCTTTAAGAACTATGTTGAGGGGCCAAATGTATCAAATCAGTAGGCTCCAATGTAAAGTATGTACAATCACTTCAGTCCAAGCAAAATAATTCTTATTCCAGAAGCTAATCTCTCTGAATGTTTTATCTGCGAAATGTGTGCCTTTATGGTTTCCAAAGGACATTTGGGGTTCATATTACTCCATCCCTCCCTGTTCTTCTGCCTTTGCTCCGTGGTATTCCCTCCTATTCATTCTTTATGCAGTTCTTTTAGGTGGTGTTGGGATGTGTGTACTTACGCCCATGGTCTCATGTAGGAATGGAATGATTATCAGATACCTGCTTACTTTTGTGGGAGTTGGGATTTGCTCCTCTCAAAACAAAAAACTCAGCACGTGGCACTGTGTTGTTCTCTACAGGTCCACAGAATCAAAACCCCCAAACAAATAGATGAGCTGATTGAAATTGAGAATGACACACACACGTGGTACAGAAGGTGTTTTGTCCGGATCCGCACGGAACTCTATGGAGTAAGTAACAGACCCGCCCCGAGTGCCGGCCAACATGTCACCTTTGAAGTTGGTCAGAACAGGGTTGATAGTGGCCGCCATGCGTGGCCCTGTGCCCCCTGCTGTCCAGGATACCTCATTTGCCTGCACTGGGACCAGGTGAAAGGACCCTCCTGGGATAAGTGGACTGGACAAGACATTTCATCTTTGGGAAGGGAAGGTGCTAGGCAAGGAGTCTTGGCAGGGCTGGGACACACTGAAGTTTTAAGTTACTTTGTCCCTTGGCTTCCAGGCAGCTAAAAAAGTGAAGCTTGCAGGATTTGGTTTCCTAGAGCCTTCAGCCTTGACATTTGAAGTTCCAATGAATCTGGCTAAAAGAAAAGTCAGTGTTTTTATAACTGGTGAAGGGGATTGGGGAGTGGGTTCACTGCATAACCACACAAGAAAACTAACTCTTGAACATTTCACAGATTTGGTTGACTTTCATGAGATGTTTCAACTACCCCGTCAGGGAAAATACGATAAAACTTACAATTGTTTGGTTCACCCTGTCCTTTGGGTAAGTAATATTTCAGTTCTTGGTGAGTGAAATCTTTACATTTCCACACGGTAACTCTCAGTCATGCGGCTCTCCTTTCTTACACTGTTTAATGCTGTTACTATATTAGGAAAGATTTTTTTTTTTCAGTTTAGATTTGCTGACCATGACAGTTTTTATAAATGACTTACCTTGGGGCGCCTGGGTGGCTCAGTCATTAAGCGTCTGCCTTCGGCTCAGGTCATGGTCCCAGGGTCCTGGGATCGAGCCCGCATCGGGCTCCCTGCTCAGCAGGGAGTCTGCTTCTCCCTCTCCCATCCCCCCTGCTTGTGTTCCCTCTCTCACTGTGTCTCTCTGTCAAATGAATAAATAAAAATCTTTAAAATAAATACATAAATATATGACTTACCTCATCTTATCACAGCGCTGGGTGACAAAACCAATAGTGCCTGGAAAGTCTGACGCGACTATGGGTGGTTTGCTCCCCATAGCTTCTCTACCCTCTTCTCCTTGTTCGCTTGGCACCAGCCACTGGCCTCCTTGCTTTTCCTTGAACATGTCAGAACGTTCCAATCTCAGGGAACTGCCTTGGCACTGCTCCCCAGACATTGCCCCGCTCATTTCCTCACCTCTTTTGAGACTTGGCTCACATGTCACCTTCTCAGGGTCACCTTCCTTAAGCACTTACTTAATTGCAGCCCCTCAGCACTCCCTACCCCCTTCTCAGCCTTATTATCCCCCCCAAAGCACCTTCCATCTTCTCATACACAAAAAATTTCTGTATTCTCTAGAGAATAAAGCTCTGTCTCCCCCTCTGTGGAAGCTCTGTGAGAACAGGGATTTTAAACTGTCTTGTTCACTCCTGTATGCCCCCGGCACATAGTAAGTGCTCAATAAGTAGTTACTGAATGAATAGAACCACCATATGTATGTTCTAAGAAAAGAGGAGATAGGAAGAAAATACCAGAATTTTATTTGCTAATGGCTTTAGAATATTTGTGCCCAACTCTATTTTGCATAATTTACTGTTTAAAAGAGGCAGTTAGATAATACCCTATACTTTCAGGTCAGTTGGCTCTTAATGCCCTAGCAGAGCTCAACATCTATGCTGCAGGTTCTATCTGTAAAAATCCCTAAGTTAAAACAGGTGAGTGATCAAAGATGGTTGATCTTTCATAGTGCTGTGAGGGGTGGTAAATGGAGAGACAAGGAAAGTGTGGATCAGAAGACCTAATACCTCATTCTGCTCTGTGACTTGGAGACACTACCAAGTTTTATTTCCTTATTTCCAAGTTAAGAGGGTAGATTCGGAATATGTAAAGTAACTCCCACTCAAGTTCTAGAAGACACATTAATCAATGAAGGCAGAGAAGGCTAAAAAGTGCCTACTATGTTCTAAACACTCAACGAGGTACAAAGATAAGTAGTCAAAAGTTCTATTCTTGATGTGGAGATTTACATGGTTTGCTAACATTTTGTTATTTATTGCTGACCACATTTTAAGCTTTATGGTTTCCTTGTAATATCCCTGAAATGTTAAAGAGTGGCTAGCATTTGGTAGATATTCAGTAAATGTTCACTGAATAAATGAAAAATTAGCTGAAACTCCTCCACATCATTGATGATGTATGTTCCAGGCTAGCATGCTTCCCTCATTGTTGCCACTTTCAAAGATTTTTGTCCTGAGTATGAGTAGAGAGCAGTGTGATTGATGTTCCACCCCTGAGTCATTTCTGCTTTAGTGGCCACCACTCACACCCCCACAGTGATTCAGTCATGCTCTATGAAAAGAAGGGGTTGGAGATCTATGGAATCCTAAGGCAGAGATGTTTTAGAAATCTTGATGACAGTGATGAGGATAAACACTGAAGTCTTTTGAGCACTCACTATGTGCTAGGCACTTTGCATCCCATTTAACCAGAGTAAGGAAGGTGGGTACTGTCATTGCTCTGATATTAGACATGGGGCACCTCAGGCTGAGATGAGTATGCATCTGAAGAATCACCTGGAGGACTCCATCTCCAGAGTTTCTGATGCAGCCGTTCCGGATAGCACCTAAGGGTTTGCATTTGTAACAAGTTTTCAGGCGATGCTGATGCTGCTCATCCAGAGATCCTATTTCGGGAACCACCAACTTAGAGTAGCGCTCTCTAATAGAAATAAAATGCAAGCCACATATGTCATTTTAAATCTCCTAGCAGCCACATGAAAGAAAATAAAAAGAAACAGATGAAATTAATTTTAAAAATATACTTTATTTAGCTCATTATGTCCAAAGTAGTGTAATTTCAACATATAATCAATATAAAAATGATTAATGACTTAATTTTACATTCTTTTTTTCATTAAGTCTCCAAATTTGATATTTTATACTTAACAGCAGATCTCATTTGGATTAGCCACATTTCTTGTTTTTTTTAGTTTTTATTCAAATTCCATTTAGTGAACACATAGTATAATATTAGTTTTAGTTGTACAACTAAAACTCTTCCATACAATACCTGGTGCTCATCACAGCAAACACACTCCTTAATCCCCATTACCTGTTTCATCCATTCTCCCCCCCCCACACACACACCTCCCATCTGGTAACCATCAGTTCTCTGTAATTAAGAGTCTCTTTCTTGGTTTTCCTCTCTCTTTTTTTTCCCCTTTGCTTGTTTATTTTGTTTCTTAAATTCCACATATAAGTGAAATCATATGGTATTTATCTTTCTCTGACTGGCTTATTTCACTTAGGATAATACTCTCTAGCTCTATCCACATTGTTGCAAATGGCAAGATGTCATTCATTTTTACAGCCAAGTAATATTCCATTTATATGTACATGTATGTAAACACACATACACCCACATCTTCTTTATCCCTTCATTAGTCAATGGGCATTTCGGCTGTTTCCATAATTTGGCTATTGTAGATAATGCCGCTATAAACATCAGGGTGCATGTATCCCTTTAAATTCGTATTTTTGTATTCTCTGGGTAAATACCCAGTTGCTGGATCATAGGTATTTTTCCAAAGACCTACGAATGGCCCACAGACACATGAAATGTACCATCACTGATCATGAGGGACATAAAAATCAAAACTGTAATGAGATATCACCTTACACCTGTCAGAATGGCTGAAATCAGCATAAGAGACAACAGGTGTTGGGGAGGATGTACTGTTGGTGGGGATGCAAGCTGGTGCAGCCACTCTGGAAAACAGTGTGGAGGGTCCTCAGAAAGTTAGAAATAGAGCTACCCTATAACCCAGCAAGTGCTCAGTAGCCACCTGTGGTTAGAGAATGCTGTACTAAAGAGCACAGCAGAATGGCTGAGCTGCCCCCTGCTAGAGTCCTACGTAAGAGAGTACGGCAGAACGTGGGAATAACCTGGATTTTCAGATAATAACCCGAATGACCCTTTTCCCAGCCTTGAACCATTTGAGAAATGGGTCTCTGCCCTCGGGCTAATAGTATCACAGTAATGTAGGCACCAAGAAATAGTCCCCATTAGTAAAGAGGTCATTCTTTAACAGTACTCAAGAGTTTTGGGAGCCCAGGAGTTTGTACCACCAGACTAGGAGATGGGGTTCCTCAGTGAGGCCTGGGGTGATGAGAAGAACATCAGGGTCAGGGAGCCCTGTGTTGGTGTAGGTTGCAGGTCCCTGCCCAAAGGCAGAGTGCAGGACCCCTATCCCTGGGGCTTCCCAGGCAGTCTCTCCAGCGTGATTTTTGCAGACTGATGCATGGCAGGGAGGGGACAGTACAGATGACTGCTGGATGATTCCTTATGTTGCAGAGAGCAGATCAGTGCTTCTCCAGGAACCCCTGCCTCTCTGAAAATGGGGGGGGGTCACTACCACCGGGTGTGCCAGCACCTGTACATACTCCCATGTCTTTGTCTTTGCAGGTACTATGGATTATCTGTGTGGTTCCCTGATGTCATTAAACATCTGCAGGTGAACATGTTGCCCATTGAAAAGATCGAGAGAGAGAAATTTTCAAATTTCAGTGTTAACTTTACAATGGCAAATCAGTTGCACACGGGAGCGGAATACGACAATGGCAGGTCCAGAAACTTTGAAATAACTTAATTTGCTGTCTGTTCTGAAAAATGTCTTTCTTCTGAGCCTCCGCTGCATGGAAGCATGCACTGTTGTTTGCTTATTTTTGGTTTTTTGTTATTTTAGTTTGTACGCTAGTCATTTTCAAACTGAATTTGAACACGTCCAAATGAGCTTTAAAAAAAAAGGTGTATGTGTATCAGTCCTTCGCTTAAAACTGCTTCTGAAAACGCTGCTTCACATTTGTGAAGTAGCGGAATTAACTGGTATGAAGAGAAAATTCAGAGAGACGCTGGAAAGCCACAGAAATAAGTCATGGAATAGAAGAGTGAGGAGTATGAGGAAATAAGATGGGTGATGGTGTTACTTCATTCAGAGAAGAAACCTGAAGTGTAACTTGATGCCTGTCTCCCACCCCTGAAAAAGGGAACCACTTTTCAGAAGCCCTTCCTTCTCCAGGTGGCTGAATCAAGAAGTGGCGCTACATTGTATCAGGAAGACTTTCCCTTAGAGAACAGGAATGATTCCCCAAAGTTCAGGGCTTCGAAAATAACGGAATAAATTAGCAAAGGACGTTTTTGAAGATGGAATCTGGAATGCATCTTGATAAGGAGAGAGAACTGGCTCAGGAAGTGGTTCCAGTGCATTCTTTCAGGGAGGGAAAGGGATAGACAAGGCCATTTGTTTCTATCTGTTAGTTGTTTTCTGAACAAATAATGGCTGATGTGAGCTCCTGATGGTTCACATCATTCTTAGGAAATTGTCCCAAAGGCAGAAATGGTAAAAGTAAAAATTTTTTAAAAACTGAACAAAGTTCTGCAGGGCAAAACCACTTTGGAAGGATGAAAAAGAATTCTGTAGGATGCTTATGGTTTCTATAATGAAAGGGAGAATTATGAAGTAGGAGAGAATTGTTTAAATTGGCAGTTCCACGAGGGGCCTAATCCTTATGCAAGCCATGTAGGATCACCTTCACCCTCCCACATAAAATACCAACCAGAGTCTGTGCTTGTTTTTCCACGGAAACCTTAGAGTCCCGTGCTCGGTAATGGCAGGGTAAAATTTTACTTCATTTATTTTTAAAAGTATTGTTGCTCCATTAGAAATGTCTGATATGTTTGTGTCTCTGACATATTTTAGATGATGCTTATTAAAGTTCTAAACCGATTCTTCAGTCACCACTAGGAAATTTTTTACATTAGCAATGTAAGGATTAGCCATTTTAATAGTATTAAAATCCCTGTAAAATATATCTATTTATTTTAGAAGGTGATAGAATTTTTATTGATTTTTTGTTTGTCTTTCAGGGAAATGGGAAATGCCACTAGCTAACTCTTTTTTTTTACAAAGAGCTTTCCTATTCAGTATCATAAAATGGCACCACTTTTCAATGCTGTGGTACTGATCTGGAATAGCCTCCAGGGTAGACTATCATGAAGCAAAGCAAAAGGTGTAGAATAGTGTGTCTCACTTGCTAGCACTCCATAAATAGAATGCTCCTCAAGAGCACACGAGAAACTGGCCACACTGGCCATCTCTGGGCAAAAGAACTGGGAGAATTGAGGATGGCTGGGAAAAGACTTACTTTATCCTTTTTCAATGTTTTCAGTTTTGTACCCTGTGTACTCTGTGTACATATTATCTATTCATAAAAAACCTAAAATGGTTTTCCCTTTCGAAATTCAGTTCTGTTTCAGAAAATTGCTAATATTCTTAAAATGTGCCATTATTGGGGCACCTGGGTAGCTCAGTAGGTTAAGCATCCGACTCTTGATTTTGGCTCAGGTCATGATCTCAGGGTCGTGAGATCAAGTCCCACATCATTCTCCGCACTCAGTGTGGAGCTAGTTTAGGATTCTTTCTCCCTCTCCTTCTGCCCCTTCCCTGCTCACTCTCTCTCTCTCTCTCAAAAAAAAAAGTTCCATTAATTATCCTTCTTTAGTGGATAAGTTTATGGTTTAGATGGTTTTACTCTGGACCCTTGGAGTAGAGGTTGAAATAAGATTACTTTTTAAGATGGTGGTGTGTTAGGCCACAGTGCGCCTTGAGCTGACGAATACAATCAGGCATTAAGGTGAGAACAATTTTGAAAGTACTAAAGAGTATATAGCTTTTAAGTCAGTCAGCTTGCTTGCCTGGGAGGCTCAGACCCTTTCTGCCCCGAGTGGTATTTGGTGTAATAACTTATTCCCCAGCTGAACAAGCATTTTCATCTCAGTGACTGGCTAAGTATACATTCATGGTCTCTTAATAACTTACCGAGACACAGTATGACTATTGATCCCTGTCTTCTGGGAGTCCTTATCAACACAGACAGATCTGAGTCGTAGACTCTTTTAAGATGTTAGGATCATCACGACTATTATCATCTTCACCATCTAGAATTCCCCCCCCACCCGCCCCGCAGCACCCAAAAATGTATCTGAGCAGGTTTCATCATTCTACACTTTCAAAAGAGCAAAACTCTCTCATCACTCTCCCTGGTTCAAGCAATACCTGTTGGCTTTGAGAAGAAAAATATTCATGGAAATGAGAATGACCTGTGAGTTTTTCTTTCTATGAGCCCTGAGTTCATCATTCCTCATATAAATGAAGCAGAATTCTCATGGTGTCTCTTCAGAATAATCAGAAATCCCTATAGGAGAATGAAGAAGCCTTGAATTTTTAGCTTAGGAAACAGACTTCCATTAAAAGTGAGCATGGGAGCACATTCCTAAGTTAGAGCCATTAACCTCAAATAGAGAATTTTCAAATAAAGGCATATGATCAAGAGCAAGAGGATAGGATTAAAAATAAGGAATCGGTAGCCACAGTTAATCTCCAAACTCTCCACCTTCAATAGCATACTCCACAAAGTCTTTCACCAACATTGCAAAGCTAAATGAAGTTATCTTGAATGCCAGCTCTTCTGCTGGAAAATAATATCGGTGAGCCAGGAGATAGCCAAAGGACAGGCTGCATGAGGAAGAGGGGAAGCTAAGAGCCTAGAAGATCCAGAGACTAATGTCTTTATGGAGAGTCCATGTGGGGCATCAGATTTCTAAACCTGTTTGACTTCACTTTGAACCCTGATGGACACAGTCATTGATAAGAATTTTTCTGTGTGTTTTTTGGGCAGATTTCTAGGGATGAAGTTCAAATCTGTAACTTTCAAAGATTCACTTTTTAAGGCCTGCCTCTTTGAGGATGTGACTTCAGTCAACACCTACTTCAAGAACTGCACATTTATTGACACTGTTTTTGACAACACAGGTAGGTGTGCTACTTAGCTGTGCCTGGGGCCCCTTTAAATGGCCCAGTTCTTGGCAGAAACGTGATACCCCTGTGATAGTGTGGGCAGAGGCGCTCGGGGAAAGTAGAAATTGAAGTGTAAAGGAATGGATTTCCTTAATCAGACTGGATCATAGTTAAGCTTTTATTATTTGTCTCTGTCAGATTTAATGCAAATGGGACTTGCTGAAGTTCCAAGTTAAAATAAAAAAATCCTGAGGCGCCTGGGTGGCTCAGTCGGTTGAGCGTCTGGCTCTTGATATCAGCTTAGATCGTGATACCAGGGTCATGAGATTGAGCCCAGTGTCAGACTCCACACTGAGCATGGAACCTGCTTAAGACTCTCTCTCTCTCTCTCCCTCTGCCCCACCCCCACCCCCCTGCTCATGTGTGTGCACAATTTCTCTCTCTCTCTAAAAAAAAAAAATCCTTTGAGTAATTTTTTAAAGGGATTTTATTTATTTCCTTGAGAGAGAAGGAGAGCACAGGTGGGTGGAGGGGCAGAGGGAGAAGCAGACTCCCCGCTGAGCAGGGACCCTGACACTGGGCTCAATCTCAGGACCCTGGGATCATGACCTGAACCAAAGGCAGACGTTTAACCGACTGAGCCACCCAGGCGCCCCTCCTTTGAGTAATGTTTGAAGAAAAGAATCACCCTGTAGTTTGTTTGTTTGTTTGTTTGTTTGTTTGTTTGTTTATAATCCTGGCTTCAAAATTTGATGTCCACTTAAGTGATCATGCCTGAACTGCAGCGAACAGAGATGGACAACGCATGGCTGTGTTTAATCAGATAGTTTTTTGGTGCAATCCTGGTAATGGAGTTTGGAAAACTCCCCAGGGGAAAAGAGGGGCAGGGGGAAACTGATTGAGCACCTACTATATGCTGGTTCCTACTCTCCGTCATTAGACGTTATCTCATTTGGTGAGATAATAGTGGAGACTTGGGAAAATTAAGCAATTTGGCCACATTCTTAGACCTGGTAACAGCTAACAGTTTTATCTGATTGCAGAGTCGTTGCTTTCCCACCCCTACACTCTGGTGTGTCTGTCCTCTGAGTCCAAAATAACAGCCCGGCACTGGCAGGAGTATGGCCCTACCTTGTTGCCAGCTAGTGACCGTCCACTAAGGGCAACTCTTACTCCTTTGTGCCTTCCTCCACTTTGACCCCAACTTCTACATTCAGCCTCAGTGGGCCCAAGGAAAGTCCTGTTCCTTCTCTTTGCCTCCAAGTCCCATAAAATAGCAGTGACAAGGCTGATTCATCCACATTTTGAAACAAATTGTTTTTGTAATTGTGGTATGAAAGCTATTAGTACTATAATGATGGTACTTATGTAACATGATAATTAGAACAAAGTAACATTATAAAGAAGGAAGCAAGTAATGTAATTAGCGATGGCCAACCATAAAAACATCAGAGGATAATGGGACTCTTTAATGTATTCTTTTATTCAACTTGTAATGTGAGGTTCTAGACTAGCCCCTGTGCTTTGGCCAGGCCCTGAAGCACCACGTTTCTTTTCTGAAGTCTTGACTGGCTTTCTTAGACTGGTGCACAACTATAGAGAGCTTGATGAATTGTCCTTGTGTTCACAGATTTTGAGCCATATAAATTCACTGATAGCGAATTTCAAAACTGCTCATTTTTTCGCAACAAGACGGGATGCCAGATTACCTTTGATGATGACTATAGTGCCTACTGGATTTATTTTGTCAACTTCCTGGGGACATTGGCCGTGTTGCCAGGGAACATCGTGTCTGCTCTCCTGATGGACAGAATTGGGCGCTTAACGATGCTAGGTATGTACTTGGTTTCATGTAAAATAAAAGAGCTGCGCTTGCCATCTCCAGGGAGCCGGTTCCCACTATATTCCCTGCCCCCTTAGGGATTTGCATCCCACAGAGATGAGGAGAAATCCCTTAAGACCTTTCATTAGGACTAAATTTCAGTGAAAATTATGTCTGATTACATTTCATTTGAGGTGCTTCCATGAGTTAACCGACTGAAGAACTAATTATATGTGACTAATGTATATTTTTCCGCTTAAGTAGCTGAGTAATTGACGATGTGCATTTCCTGCTTGCTGTGTTCAGAAGGCAGTTGGGGAGGCAAACCTTTTTACAGGTGAGGTTACCTGTACCACTGAGGTTTTGGAGTCCAGGCCACGGCCTCCCCTTGGGATTCAGTTTTGCTGAGAGATGTCGAAGACCCGAGGATCATTCTCTGCTAAGATGGCGGGAAACGTGGCAGCCTTTTGTTGGCTTCTTTGGCAGGTGGCTCGATGGTGCTTTCGGGGATCAGCTGTTTCTTCCTCTGGTTGGGCAGCAGTGAGTCCATGATGGTAGGCGTGCTGTGTCTGTATAATGGATTGACCATCTCGGCCTGGAACTCTCTGGATGTGATCACTGTGGAACTGTACCCCACAGACCGCAGGTATGTTGAAATGGGCCTCTGGGAAGAGGCACTCTGGGCTTCTTGGGGCCACAGAGAGGTCATAGAAAAATAAGCCAAACTGTCATTTCCCAAAGGAAGTGAAAATCCAAAAAAAAATACCTGGTTTATGAGGTTGTAGTTTTCACTCATACCTTTTAAAAAGAAAATGTCAGGGAATATAGTTGCTAGCAGGAATAAGTAATCAGGCAGTGAAACTAGTGAAGGGATTTAATTGTGTCCATGACTTAGTTTGTTGGCTGACAATATGAGCAACCTGTAACGCAGTTGTGAGGAGTAGGATTTAATAGCCTCTCTTGGACCACATTTTCAGCTGCTAATCAGTCCTGAGAGGACTCTCACCTTCCTTTTCAAGTGTCTGCATGAGCTTTGTATTAAGCAACCACAGAGAAGTCTCTAGACCATATCTCTTGACCTTCCTGGTCTGTTGGAGGAAAGCCCAAGATATTTCCAGTTACAACAACAACAACAAAGATTCCTATTAGAAGAAAGTTATGCATCAGTCTCAACATGAAGGTAAAAAGCATCTTATATGAGAGAAAGGACTAAAAGATAGACTTTTGGGGTCGAGCTGTAGCAGCTGAATAATTAAAAGAATAGAAGCCCTGTTTTCCCATTTGACATGAGCAAAGACAAATGGCCTTTTCCTTCTTTTATTTTGTGTATACTTTGTCACCATGGGAGCCTTCTCTGCTGAGGGATGGGGTCAGTATCTTCTGAACTTTGAAATGGAGGAGGGATTTTCCTAGGATTATGCAGAGGCATTTGGGGTAAGAATTTTCAACATTACTGACCGTATAGGAACGTTATAGGAACTATATACCCATCTCCTGCAGAACATCTCAAACTCTTATGGATCTGTCCTTATCCAGTGTTCTACTAGACCCTCAGTAACCTCCTATTGAATATTTAGGCTCTGAAAGGAACCATATACTCCACATTCAGCATCTCCTTCATTCATTCAACAAACATTAATTCTCTGCTGTGAGTGAGATCCTGAGGTGGATGCCATGGGCCTTGGGATGAGGGTGCTGCCAAAAAAAAAAAAAAAGAGAAGAAGAAAGAAAGAAAAAAAAGATTAAGACTCTGCAGTATCCACTGAGCATTCTTTTATCAACCTCTCTTCCTGCAAACTGGGCCCAGATGTGGATTAAACTATTCATTTAAAATAAACACCTTAATGTTAAAGCAACACTATGGCATAGCCGGGTACCTTTATGTTACACGTGTAAGAGTTTGATACTATTTTAGATGAATCAGCTGCTTATCCCTCTACTGTAAGGGATGGAAGGATGAATATTCTTCTATGGCAAAATCTGGCTTAAAAAACAAAAAGCAAGAAACAATGATTTGGGCAGGTTCCTCCGATGAGAAACATGGACCTGCTATAATTCAACAGATTTTGTTGGTAAAAACAGTAATTGCTGTTTGTGTTTGCTCGGGTCCTCTGAGAAGCAGAGAACAGGACGGAACTAAATGTGGGCGCAGATTTTAGTAGGAGACGTGGCTGTGCGAGAGAAAACAGGGAGGGAGGTGACGTCTGGGAGAGCTGTAGGCACCATGAGAGGGGTGCCTTATGAATAACTGAAGGCATGCCTCTCACTCAGGTTTTAGGAGCTAGGAACCAGGACAGAGACCACATGTATTGCTTAGACCACACCTTTCCACTGTGTCAATGTCACTATAATTCTTCAATCCTCAAAATCTCAGCATCAAAGGAAAGCATAACATAATGATTGCCTGATGACATTTCAGCTTTTCTCCCAGGTTAGATCACGGACAGTTATGGCACATGATAATTTGAGGGGCACAAAAGGGGGTAGAAGGACCCTCACAAACACATTTTAGTGGAGTCCTTATAAGATCCAATTTGTTTACGGAGATGTGAGGGAACCCATTTTTTGGAATAGAAGCTTAGGGAAACTTTTTAGTATATTCTTTGATACTCTCTCACACAAAATATATGGTGTCTTTTCCAACACCAACCAGTTCTCCAATTCTGACACTACGCGGGGTTGGTATCAGATCCTACAAGTTAAAGGGCTCAGTTCCACAAAACCGCCCCATTTCAGGTGCGCGCTACAAATGGGGTGCCCAGGCAACGGACACTTCTGCCCAGCCAACTACAGATTTGTGAATTTCCACAGCCCTGAACAGGTTTGATAATGGACTAGATAAAGAAGTACCTAGGGTGAGCTACAGAGGAGTCCGAAGTGCCTGAGCCTCCATGTTCCCATGGAGTTAGTTAGGGTACACTACCACCGTCCTTACAGGTGAATGCATTCACCAGTCTGGAAGCTCTCTTGATTTATAGAGGTTTCATTATGTAGGCATGATTGATTAAATCCTTGGGCATTGGTGACTGAATTTAATCTCCAGCACCTCTCCCCTCCCTAGAAGTCAGGGGTGAGGTGGGAGGCTGAAAGTTTCAACTCTCTCTTCACATGGTTGGTTATTTCCAGAGACCAGCCCCCATCAAGAAGCTATCTAGGAGCCCTTCAAATTAAAGTGGAGATGCTATGAAGTTTTCTGTTATTATGCAGAAAGGCTAAGATTTTAAAGACTGATACAACCCAGTGTTCCCTGGAGCGGATGAGGGTGGCATTGCTGCTCAGAAGCTGTTAGGGGAATTCTGAAAACATGTACAACATGTAGAGAGGGGGGAGTCTAGCAATCTCAGTGTTTTCCCCTATAGATGAGGGGGTGTTTCATTTGGCTGCTTTCAAGATTTTTTCTTGGTCTTGGTGTGGATTTCTTTGGGTTATTATGTTTGAGGTTTACTCAGCATCTTGAATCTGTAGATTTGTGTCTCTTGACAAATTTGTAAGACTTTCAGCCATTATATATTTGAATATTTTTTCTCTTCTTCTGCCTGAACTCCAGTGACATGAGTATTAAATCTTTTGTGATAGTCCCAAAGGTCCTTGATGTTCGGTGAATTTGTTTTCAATCTCTTTGCTCTGTTTTTCTTATTGGAAAATTTCTATTGTTCTCTTCCAGTTCCCTGATTCTTTCCACTGACTCCTGCATTCTGCTGTTGAGCCTAATCGCTAAGCTTTTTTTTTTTTTCTATTTTTTCTAGATGTTTTCTATATTTTATGTGTTTCAAGTGTGTTCATGATTGCTCACTGAAGCATTATTATCATGACTGCCTGAAAATACTAACATCTCTGTCATCTCTAGGTTGGCATCTCTTAATTGTTTTTTCTCAGTCTGTTTGAGATCTTCCCAGTTGTTCTTAGGATGAGTGATATTCAATTGAAAAGTCATTTTCCTATTATGATATGAGACTTTATTTTTTTTTATTATGTTATGTTAGTCACCATACAGTATATCATTAGTTTTTGATGTAGTGTTCCATGATTCATTGCTTGCTTATAACACCCAGTGCTCCATGCAATACGGTATGAGATTTTATTTTATTTATTTTATTTTATTTTTTTAAAGATTTTATTTATTTTTTTGACAGAGAGAGACACAGTCAGAGAGGGAACACAAGCAGGGGGAGTGGGAGAGGGAGAAGCAGGCTTCCCGCGGAGCAAGGAGCCCGATGCGGGACTCGATCCCAGGACCCCGGGATCATGACCTGAGCCGAAGGCAGACGCTTAACCGACTGAGCCACTCAGGCGCCCCCGGTATGAGATTTTAAATCTCTTGTAAACCTTTAGTTTCTGGACACCTCCCTGTGGGGAGAAAAGGGTACAGTGCCTAATTATTGCCTGGTGGAGGTAGATATCCAGTGTCCCCACTCAGCCTCTGTTGACACACAAGAGCAGGTGATATCTTCATTCATGTTGGCCAGCAGTGGGAGTCCAGGCTCCCCTCACGATCATGATACTATGGACGGAAAGAAGGGAGAAGGGAAGGAGCTCATCACTGGCCAGCAAGGATGAAACTCCCTACTTAGCCTTCCCTGATACCACTTCGGTGGTGATACGGAGTCACCACATCACAGTTTTGTGAGGGTGGAAGTCTAGGCTCTCTCCTAGGCTTTTGCTGGTATGGCTGGCATTTGGGCTATAATTTTTTTGGTGTTCATTTGGAGGAGAAAGATTATTGTCTAAACATTTTTTGTCTTTCTAGGCTGCCCCTACCCTGGTCCTCTGGCTAGAGAGAACAGGGTTTGTTGGGGCTTTTTAAATAATCTGTTGCTGATGGTATTTCCACATTGCCATCTTCTTCAGTTCCGAGACTGAGATCAATGGAGCAAAAGAAAATGCAGGGAACTCACCACTCCTAAACTCAGATTTGTCTGAGATCAGTGGAGCAAAAGAAAATGCAGGGAATTCACCTACGGTCCCTGGCATCTCTGCCTTTTTTCTGTCTTTCAGAGTCTTCTTATGTTTGCTTTTTAATATCCAGTATTTTTAGCTGTAGTTAGTGGGAATGCTCATGAAAGTATGACTACTCCATCTCCATATGAATTTTAATATTGTTTACTTATTCATTCAGCCTTTTTTTTTTTTTTTTGAGTGCCTGTGATACAACCATGAATAAGCCATTTGTGGTCATTACTCTCACAGAGTTTGTGGACAAGTGAACATCAGATAATAGAGTGAGGTGTCAGGGTCATTGTGAGGGAAGTACATGGTGTTGTGAAAGCAGAGAAGAGGGCTTCTTGAAAGAAGTGCCATCTGAGCTGAGACCTGAAAAACAGTAGGTGATAGCTGAGCAAAGAGATGGAGAAAGAACATCTCAGATGACATATGAAATACTATCTGAAAATTTCTGGAGGCTAGAGTTAACAGAGGTAAGCAAGGAACAAATCAGGAATGATCTTGTAAATTGCATCATCCTATGGGCAATGGGGAGCCCTTGAAGTATTTTAGGAAGAAGAGGGACAAGCTCAGAGAAGGGCTAGAAGTTTACTCTGGTGGCCAGAAAAGAGGCAGGAGGACTGGTTAGGATGCTGAAAATAGTGATGTGAACCAGAAAAATGTGGGTGGGAAAGGAGCTAAATCAACATTCAACATGTTCACTGA